GAAGTAGGTCATAAGGAGCTGTTTTCCATCGGGGTCTTGGGATCCAGATTGGTATATTTATCATAAGAAGGCCTTTGTGTTGGGTTTTCATGTTTGTTTTTCATTGAGTTAGGTTTTTATGTTTGTCCTGGATGACCTCTTGGATTTTTTTTTTATATATAATTTGCTGCTTTAAGGGTGTGTGGTGATATACTGTATACCCTAATAAACTTGCCTGAGAATCAGAGGACAGAGCTAGCCACTAGATTAGACATAGAGGCCAGACCATGGTGGCATACACCCTTAATCATATCATTCGGGAGGCAGAGATGTCTGGATCTCTAGGATTTCCACACTGGAAACTGAGCCAGGCAGTGATGGCACACACCTTTAATCCCAGTACTGGGAAGCACATGCACCTTTAATCCCAGGAAGTGATGTCTGGGCACAGGAAGGTATATATGGTGTGAGGAAACAGGAATTCACTCTCTTTAGGCTAAGGATTTTGTAGAGGTAAGAACTAGTAGCTGGCTGTTTTGCTTCTCTGATCTTTCAGCTTTTACCCTGATATCTGGCTCTGGATTTTTTTATTTTTATTTATTTATTTATTTTTTTATTAAGAGGCCATCTAAGATGCAAACAACAAGGCTGAACTTGTGAAGACCAGCAGCCAGGAGGCAAGTTACACGTTGATCCCTAGCAGGAATGCCCCCTGGGATATTGTAATTGTATTCAGGGTCCTGGTTGGGGACTGCCTCAGGCCTGACTGGGTGGGCAGCCTGGCTGAGAAGGCAGAAAGGGAGACCAAGGAGGCTGGAGAGGAAGGGAAGGGACTGGGGCTGAGGCTGATAATGGTGAGGCTTGTTAGTGTGATGGAAAATAGTGGAAGAGTCGTCTGCTTTGGGCCTCACAGGAGCTGTTTTTCCTTGGATGGCTTATGTCATGTGGCCACTTTTACCAAGATGGGAGTGAGGTCACATGGCAAAATCCATCTTTCCTAACCCTAGCAAATATAGGGGTCACACACATGACTGCCTCCGTCCCAATGGGGGAACCACAGCTAAGACAGCAGCAAGCCATATGTGTCCTTTAAGGTCACCTATGTACAGATGTTAACTTAAATTAACCCTTTGTTACAGACTTTACAGGGTTTTAATCACACCCAATATGCTTACAAATCTCGAGGGACAGAAAGTTTCCACAATAATTTTACAAATTTTTTTTTTTTTTGTTTTTGTTTTTTTGAGACAGAATTTCTCTTTCTCTGTGTAGCTTTGCACCTTTCCTGGAACTCACTTGGTATCCCAGGCTGGCCTCGAACTCACAGAGATCTGCCTGCCTCTGCCCCCTGAGTGCTGGGATTAAAGGCGTGCGCCGCCACCGCCTGGCTTAGTATTACAAATCTTGAGATAAAATGTATACCTTAGCAAACAAAGTTTTAAACCAAAACCAAGAATATGAGATGAGTAGCAATAGTCCTTATTGGGAATAGTCTGTCCCCTTATTTTGTTTTGCTCTCCTTTCTCTCTCACATAGTCAGATGGATCACCTGATATGGACAGAGATTTTGGAAGAAACCTTTAAACAAAACGTGCTTGGGCCTAAGGAAGGGGGAGCCACACGCCAGCTCCAGAGTCAGATTTTAACTCAAGTGGGACAGCATAAAACAGCAGTCTAATGCCACTCATCCCTAAATGACACCTGAGTCCCTGTAAAACTGAATCCAGTAAGCAGAGAACAAAGAAGGATTAGGGATAGGAAGTTTTTGAGTCCTGGCTATAGACAGGATGCTGCAGGAGGGAGCTGGGAGAAGCAGCAGCCAGTGGGGAGAGTGTGCAGGGTGTGTGCATGCTGCAGCTGGCCTAACCTCTGCTTTCTCCCCCTCCTGCTAGGTCTCACTCCTGGTTCCCACTTTGCAATAAACTTACAGATCCTGTAAGCGTTGAAGCTCCAATAGGAAGGGATCCTGGTAGTTGGGAGCCAAGGAATACCACAAAGTAAAGCTTAGCAGGTTTCCCCAATGTAACAACTCGGCTCCAGCAGGGGAGGGTTTCCCCCAGCCAAGTTGATACAGCTCTACTCCACCCGGAGTGTAAGAGTGTAACAACTTTGCTCCGATAGGGGAAGGTTTTCTCCAACAAAAGTGTTACATTTCTGCTCAGCTCTACCCAGCTCCCGCTCCCACAAAACTTGTGACAGCTTCACTGGTGGAAATGTCACACTGTACAACAAACCTCATTCAAGAGATTTATTGGGAAGGAGGAATCCAGGAGAGTGGCTGCCTCTTGGGCGAGGTGGCAGCAAACTGAACAGGGTACAGAGTTTATATAGGGTTCCTGAGGCAGTTTGGGGTGGGGTGGGGCTTTCCAAGGTGACTTGGGATTGGTGGGATTCGGTGCTCAGGGACCTCGGGGATTGGTGGAATTTCAATTTCTGTTCCCAAGTCAGGGTCAGGGTGTTTTTCCTTGGCCCTTTTTATACTACAGATCCATCTATGGTAACTTAAAAGACAGGACTTTTACAGTGTGTGTGTGTGTGTGTGTGTGTGTGTGTGTGTGTGTGTGTGTGTGTGTGTGTGTGACTAGATTAAAAAGAAATGGGTTGGAGCAGAGAAAAGAG